CCAAAATGAAAAGGATGAGGGGGCCAAAAAGATCCAGCTTTCCTGCACCCTCAGCTCTATAAATGGAGAAATCACAAGGAGGAAAGAAGTTGCCTCGCACCTAGAGTTGCTGCTGGCTGTTGAAATAGTGTGTCTGGTTTTGACATGTTGGTGAAGTGGAGAGAAACCTGAAAAGGGACATGAAAATCACTCAGCAATTAGTAAAACTCAGTGAAATGTGTCATAGAAGGTTAGTTAATTCAATTTATTGAAGAGAGCACAAAGGAGCTGCAAGACAATAAAATACCTCACAACAACAGGGAAGAAGAAAATCACTAATAGTCTTTTCAGTTTACCTGGCAAAACTATCAGAAGTTGAAGCTAGAAAATGTTAAAAAAGACCCACAAAACCAAACCTCTGTCTTCTAAGCCATGGGATAAGCAGAACTGGAGTAATTTACCCTAAATCACAGCAAATTATCTAACTCTAAATTATCTAACTCTCCTAAGTCTATAGGTTTTTCTAATTATTGAATTAGACTAGAGTGGCCTCTCCTTCATAATCTGTCCTGATTTTTCATGTGCAGTTTGCACATGAAAGCAGGAAGGGAATAACACAGATGGCTACAGCTTAAAGGCTGTTCCTGCCTTCTGCAAAAGTGGAGGTTCTTCGACAGCAGACCTGGATCACGTGCATTAGTTAGTACCTCTCACAGAAATTCTCAGGCACTGACACAGAGTTTAACATTAGAGTGCTGCAAACAAAACCAACAAAACCCCTATTATATTGAAAAAAAAATTTCTGTCCTATAAAATTTGTGTCATTTCAGCTCTCTCAGTCTAAGGAAATAAACATTTGCAGGAGGTGGCACCATCTGTGTTCAGTGAGTTGACACAGGATGAGAAATGAGAAATGGAAAAACCTTCTTCATGTATCACATTCACATTTGCTTCAGAAGTTGCTGATTCAGACCCAGAAAAGGTGTTCAAAAGTCTGTTTCTTCCAATACTACTAATTAATTTACTACAAGGCATTGCCTCTCCCAACAAATATTCTCTTTGTAATGATAAAAAGGGCAGTTTTAGTTTCTATGTTTTAGGCACCATGCACGAGCATTTCACATAGCCAGAACGAGCAGAAAATCTCATGGATTCCACTCAGACCTGTTTAGTGTCTCCTTGGGTTTATTTCTGCCTTCAGTGCTCTCCAAACCTTCATATCATGCACCCCATCAGTAAAAACTTTTTGATCATGCACTCCTATTATTTATAATTAATTTTTTTTTATTATACACATGTACTACTGTACTAATGTATTATAAAACTTACACAAAACTATAAATTTTAAAAGGATGAGGTAAAGAGGAAATAAACACTATTTTTAAAATATTGATTTTATTGAGGGTACCAAAAAATCATATTCTTCCTGCACCACAGTTTGTTGACCACTGCTCTTGAGATGAAACTATTTTGACCCATCCTGATGCATTGTCTCAGTGCCCACAATTTTACCCAAATCAGTTTTAGCCTCTCCTCTTTCTTCAGGGGTGAAACTTCTGTTGGTTAGCATTCATCTGGTTCCTTCTGAGCCTGCCCTTCATCTAGATTCTTCCAATTTGATGGGGTTTTTTGGGTGTTTTTCTAGTTAGGGCTGCAAATCTCTATTCCTTACAGGCTTTTGAAGCACAATCATTCAGAAACGACTATACTTTCTTTTCCAGCCAAATGAACTTCTGTTCCTTCTCAGCATTTATCATCATTAATAATTTACAGATCTGTAGCTTATTTTATCTAGATGCCTGTGCTTATGTAAAAGCATATGTACAAGTTGCAATAAAACCACATTTAAACTATTAGTAAAATAATGCAAAAAAAAAAAAAAAAGAAAAAAATAACCCACATCTTGTTACCAGAAATGCTTCAACTGCATAATTTTTTAAGGGTGAGCATGTGTAACAAATTAAATCAACAACCCTGCATACTTCCTGTGCAGATAGCTCTGCTGTGCATCTCTTTTACTGATTTTGCCACAAAATTTTAGAAGGTTACCCCAATACAGGTATCACCAGCATTACCCAAAGGTGAACAAAGACATGGAACCTTTTCCCTCACTACCACTGGAAATACAGCATTTCCCATGAGGAAGATTTAAGGAATGGCACAAACACTGCACAATAAACTTCACAAGAGGGTCTGAGAAAGGCTTCGGGTTCATTCTCAGGCTCAAAACTACTCAGCACCCAGCAGCAGCATTTTTTCAGAGCCACGTCAAGGGTTGGACAAGAAGACAGAAGAATGTGCACCCAAGCCACTCCAGCAGCTATTGCTTCAGC